GAGCGGGTCTAGATAGACAGCTTCATCCAGGTACCGGGGAAGCTGCTGCGCCACCACACTCTCAACAACCTTCGCCACAAAGCGAAGGTTGGAGACTGGACGATAGTTAGCCAAAACAGCCAGATCCAGAGAGGGCTTCTTGAGGAGGGGCCTCACAACCGCTTCTTTCAAAGCGGCCGGCAGGACCCCCTCACTCAGAGAAGCATTAACAATCCTCTGGAGCCAGCCTCGTGTAACCTCCCGGGAAGCCAGTACCAACCAGGAGGGACACGGGTCCAATAAACATGTGGTCGCGTTCAGCCGTCCCAGGATCCTGTCCATGTCCTCGGGAGCCACAGGATCGAACTCCTCCCAGATAACGCTCTCAAGACCTGCCTCAGTCATCCCGTCCGGACATACCCAGTCAGAGGCCAGCCCTTCCCGAATCTGAGCGATTTTGTCATACAGATACTGCACAAAATCCTCGGCTCGGCCCTGCAAGGGGTCATCCTGCACTTCCAAATGGAGGAGGGAGCGGGTCACCCTAAACAAGGCGGCTGGGCGATTATCTGATGATGCGATAAGAGCGGCAAAATAGCTAGATTTTGCCGCTTTTATCGCCACTAGGTAGGTCTTAATATGAGACCTCACCCGTATTCAGTCGGATTCGGAGCGGCTGGTCCTCCAACTACTCTCCAGGCGTCTTTTCCGGCGCTTCATCTCCCTCAGCTTCTCGGAGAACCAAGGAGCTAGGTGAGTTCGGTGCCGGGTCAGAGGCCGCAAAGGCACGACACGGTCCAAGGCCCCGGCGGCCGCACTATCCCAGGTGGCCATCAGGTCTTCAGCCGAGTCATGAGTCAGAGACTCAGGAAATGGCCCAAGCTCCATCTGGAACCTATCAGGGTCCATCAGGCGCCTGGGGCGGAACCACCTGGTCGGTCCCGCCTCCCTGCGGCGGGGTGCAGCGGTTAGAAAGTCCAGTCGAAGGAGCGAGTGGTCAGACCATGACAAGGGTTCGATGGCTGTATCCCCTTATCAAGACCACTCAACCACTGACCAGAGACAAAAACTAAGTCCAGAGTGTGTCCACCTATGTGAGTGGGGTCATGAATTAACTGAGTAAGGTCCATGGCCGTCATGGAAGCCATGAACTCTTGAGCCACCTCAGACGTTTCACCGATAGAGGGCAGGTTGAAATCCCCCATGACAGCAAGTCTGGGGGTATCAACCGCCACCTCGGCTATAACGTTAAGCCGCTCGGGCAGGGCCGTTGCCACGTGGCAGGGAGCCAGGTACGTGACCAACAAGCCCATCTGTACTCCACGACCCCACTTCACAAAGAGGGACTCACATCTGGCTATCTGTGGAACAGTGGTTGCCCTTGGATCCAGACCTTCCTTTATAATAACCGCCACCCCCCTGCCCCTACCCTGAGCCCTCGGCTGATGAAATGCACGGAAGCCTGGTGGGCATATATCCACGAGGGGAACTCCCCCCTCCTGGCCCAACCAGGTCTCCGTAATGCCCGCTAGGTCCGCCTCCCCCTCCTGAATAAGATCGTGAATGAGGGGGGCTTTATTAACAATGGACCTGGCATTGCATAACATCAGCCGAAGGCTCTGGCCCTGAGAATCTGAACAGCCTGGGGAATGAAAAAAGCATTGGGGACCGGAGTGCGCAATCGCTCTAAGGTAGAGAGTGCGCATTCCCCGAACATGATGTGGTCCCCAGCTTCCGCCATATCTGCCCCTCCCACTCACTATACTGATGGAACAGCCCTCTTTAAATCGAACTCCAACCCCCTCCCCGACCTCTGGTTCTACGTCCCTAGTGTCGCAGCCCTTCGCTGAGGCTGGTCTTGAACCCGGTGGATTTCCCCCAGAACCCACCCTGATCCCCCCGAACCCCTTAAAATTTTTGTTAAAAACCCACTAAAAAACCCACTTAAAAAACCCCTCAAACTCTTCTTTGCCGCATGCCATCTCTCGGGGCTCCAAAGCCCGTCATCAAGATAGGCCCTCGATAACGAAGAGGGCCAAACCTGCGAGAGGGGGGAATCTCGCAGGGCACAAAGTTCATTCACCGAGTACATCTGGACATCAAGGGGAGGTAATAACCCATGGCCAATAGCCAGGGGACAATTTGATGTTATCACAGTCAGAAGGAGTGAAATGCCGGACTTCAATAGAATTCCAATGGAACACGTGGGACCTCATTGCCCTCTCACGGCAATGGCGGGAGTAAAATGCTGTTTTGATCCGGTAAAGGGTGACCCAGCCCCCCTCTCACGGTGGCTGGTCAACCACGATCGTCCAAAAAGCCGGAATTGAGACAGCAGCTGTAGACCCACTCCACCAAGACTTGAGTCCCCAGATGTAAACCTCCATTCAATAGAGGGAAAGAATGGGATCAGGTCAGTCCACATAGTCCAAAAACAGGCTCAAGTTGGCGGAGATCATAACAGTCATAACTCCGGGGAGGTCAAGAATGACACCTAGACCAGGAGATGATTGTCCAGCAAGCATGCGCAGCATGGTATCACCACATTCAGGGGAATGGGAGGTGAAAAAGGAGAGCAGAGGCAACAAACGCCACAGGGGGGAAACCCCTCAGTCATGGTCCAGCTCTCCCCAGCCCCTCCCAGATCTTCCTTATGACCATGCTGCTCGCCTCGCCCAGCCTCCATAAATCCTCATGGAGGTCTCTGGGACGACCAAGGGGCCAAACAACGCCCCACGATCACCCAGGAGGTCCAACACAGCAAGCGAGCAGCTGCTAACATCTCCGACACTCCCATACATCAAACTGCGGCGGCTCCTTCCTTGTCCCAGCAGCCGCCATTTCCACGCCGCCAGCATCGCCGCCGCCGCCGCCAGCCTCCCCGTCCTCACCTCGCCCCCCCCTCCGCCCCTAGTACATGTCCAGGGCGGATTGGGCTGGCGAGGATCCCGACGAGGGTGCTGCACCGCCGCCGCCGCAGCGCTGACGCTGTCATCCTGGCTCTGCCGCCTTCGCAATAGAGAGTCAGCCGCCCCCCCTCCTCCTTTGGGCCGCTCTTGCCATCCTATGATCTCTGCGAGCCTCCGCGAGCCTTGAGGACATCCTGAGAAGCCGGAGACCCCTCAAAAGAGAGCTCCGACACTCCTCCAGCTCGGCCAGGGCTGCAACGATCGAAATTCAGCCCTCCAAAGGCCCCCTGGAGCCATAATCACCCCCCCAAGATCACCGGGATCACAAGGAAGTCGCCATCTTGGGCATGCGCAGATAAAAAATAAATAAATTATATATTGCTTTCGATGTAAAGAAGAAGAAACAGCTTACTTCCTTGCAATTCCTTTCTCTGTAATCTCTCTGCTCTACAAAGTGTGGGAGGAAAGAAAATATTTCATTGATATGATTACATTGGGAATCAACACTTCAGTATCTACATTTATGAGACAAAAACTACTGAGAAATTTTGATGATTTCCTCATAGAATGGGGAAGTAGTAGTATTCCCTCTTACATGCTCTATTTCAAAATTGAGTCCAGAGAACAAGTTTAGAGGATATGCAGAAACTGTTGGAGCAAAGAGTGAGGAAAAATCTCATTGCAAAAGTAGAAAAATTATGCAGAGGAGTCTGTTCTTCGCTCTCTGATCTTATTTTTAATATATTTTGTAAGTTGTATTTTATTTAATATTTTTAAATATTTAATATTTTACATCAGTTTGTACAATGTTTCCCTAAGAAAATATAATGAGAATAGACTAGTTTCTAATCCTGTATTAAAACATGAACTTCAATAGATCTTGAATAACACTAGGTTTGAGTTGCCTATAACTAAAAGAATTACCTTCATGCTAATGAAGAATAGTGATGTGTTTCTCATTAAACTGAACACCTTGGGGTAATTTGCCAATAGATAAAAAAATGCCACTGAGGGATTAAATCAATCTTTCCTAAGGGGTCCTGCTGTCATCTTTTAAAAGAACCTTCTTGTGTTTGTCTGACTTGCTAATTAGGTGGTAGTAGGACTATGTTTTATAGAAAAGCTCATCCTGTAAAGAAGTAGAAAGGATAGATAGGCTGTACTATTGTGGTTTAAAATCTAAATATTATAGTTACATAGATCAAACATAGAAAGATTCGTGTTCCTTTGGGTTGCTGTACTATTGCAGGGGAGATCTATCATGCTATCTAGATGCTTATTCACATCTTCTTTTGCTTTCTTTCTTTTATGGATTGAGCAAAACAGACAATCCCAGTTAAAACAATTGTAATTTGGAGGAAAATGTAACTGATAACATCCTAAAGGGCTGCAAGGAATTTGTCAGTGATAAATCTATCATTTCACCTATTTAGAAAGCCAGACTGGATTGGTGAAAAACAGACTCTACTTGGATGAGGAAGTTGGTAAAAAAAATGGGTAACAGCTCCCCAAATGAGAACTCCGGGATTATTTCTTGTTCTTTTTCATAATCATATTAAGAAGGATTACTGACTGACTACACATTTGTGGCCATTTAACCAGTTTAACGCTAAAATATATTTCTTGGCCTCTTGAACTCTCTCTTGCTTTTTCTTTGCCTTCATCCTCCTCCTGTTTCTGCTGTTACTTCAGTCTCTTGCTAACTTTTTTCATCACCCTCTTTGATCTTCATCTTTTATGCGTTTGTATTACTGATTGAGGGATGCTGGGCCAGCAGTTGGGATAATAGGAAGGGATCCCACTTAGTTTCCCATCTTTTATTTTACCAAATATTTATTATTTATTTTTATAATATTTATATTATTATATAAGTATATTTATATATATGTATATATGTATATTTATTTGTAAAATATTCATCATGCTTCTTATAATTTGTAGAAGCAGTATAAGCTGCGGGGGGGGGCTCAAAAGAGGAGAGAAAAACGTGGGAATATGTTGCAAAGTTGAAGCAAATAAATACGCAGAGAAAGAACAGGGAGAAAACTGTGGTAAAGGACTGGATTGATAATTGAGTCCAAGTTTTATAAAGTTACTTTATTCCTTCCTCAGGGCATACAAAACCATTGAAGAGGATGATTTGAAGTTTCCCCTTATATATGGAGAAGGAAAGAAGGTGGGAATAAGCCTTGTGTGAAAGGAACCTGAGTGCTGCATCATAATTACTACTCAAGTTAGCCCTAAATTTTTTGGGGTTTTCTACTTTCTTCACTTTATTTTATTTTTCTAACAACTTAAAAGAATATTTTGTCTCTAATAATTCAGTTCCTAGGTTCCATGACAAACAAGCCCGTTTCAGAGAAAAGCAGTTTCATTACTTTTATTGCTGAACTGTCTTATTTTGATTTTTGTTTGCTTTATATAAATATACATTTGAAGGCAGTTAGGATAGAGAGATTTTGGAAAGAAAAAAAAAGTTTGGATAGGCAGTTGTGCAGTTTGATTGTACTGTTATACGTGATCTTTTAAACTGGGAAAAATGAAAAACTTTTTTGGATTTGTGCAGTTTTGAACAGTTGTGGAGATCAAATAAATTTAAGGCAATAAGGATGCCTGCTGAATTTCTAGTTACTAGGGTTTTTCTTTTTTAGCTGCGTTCACAGTTCATTCAGGGATGTGAATCAGAGACTGAGAAATAATTTTGTCAAAATAGCAACTGATTGCCAAATACAGAATTAGAAAATAAATTATTAGCACTGACCCCTACAATTCTGAAGATGTGAGGACTCTGTGATCTCAAGATTGCTTTTGCTTCCTCATCACATTCTCTAGTGGCTTGATTGCTTATTTCAATTAATCATATGAACTTCTATGTTGGTCTGGCTGCTCTGGTCAGCTCTGCTGCAGCTTACCTGTACGTTTTGATGAGAATTTTGTTTTTTCAATAGTATTTCTGCAACCTTTTTTTCTCTGTGTATGTGTATTTTTCTTTATAACACTTCTTCCCATTTGCTACATATTTTAGAAGAATTTAATATCACTGAAAAGTAACCTGAAAAATTCCACACTGTATCTAGGGGAATTGGAGATTACAGTATCACAACAATGATGCTAAAAAATGATAGTTTTTTTAGAAAGAAGACCCAAATCCTGTTTTCTCTTTAGATTGCAAAAAGAGAATATTGGTTTATATCAATGGTTCTCAAAGTATGGTCGGAGGACCCCTGGGGAGCCGCAAGGTCAAATATTTTAAAATTCAGTTTTAACTTCTAATGCAGTAAATATTGATAGATATAATCCATATCAATCAAAGCACTTTGAGGTCTCCTGCAACCAAAATGTTTGAGAACCACTGGTTTATAGTAGGAATTTCTGACAGCTGATTGTGACTCCTCCTAGTGGTAGCAAACGCTCTACTGCAAGGTGTGTATGAGGAAAGCCACACGGCCAAAGACATGCTTATGTTCTATAAGTCAGATAGGAAGACAACTTTATTCAATTGTACATATTTAAAGAATGCTACTTTAGTGTCAAATGATAGCATACAACACTTAGGACAAATAGCTCCTTTGGAATCATTTAAAGTGGTAGCCATTCAAAATCCAATTCTATCCTTTTTTACTATGTATTCTTAAGGGTTTTTTTTTCTTGCTCAGGAATCTTTCCCCTAGTCTTCTCCAGTATCCCCATGCTTTTATGGTTTTTATCTCTTCCTAGGCTCGTGTCATGGCAACTATTGGGGTTACAAGAGGACTTGGAGATCATGACCTGAAGGTGCATGACTCGAACATCTACATCAAACCTTTTTTGTCCTCCTCACCAGAGGTAGAACATTCATATATCTGTTATAGGGGAACATGAATTAAACCAATATTTTCTTTAAAAACCAATGAAACATGTATAAGCTTCCTTTGTATTATTATTGTGCGTGTAAAATATTTAAAGTGAGTCCACATGAAAAATACTTGAGTTAAGAAATATTATTATTTAAGAAACAAATGATCAAACCAAGTATTTAATGGGACTTATATAGTGTAGGTTTTTTAACCTAAAACTATTAAGAGCAAGTAAGCGAGTCACATCTTTTTTTATTGTAAATCTGCCAGCTTAATCTCTCTCTTTTTTTAAAAAAAAAAAAAATTATATTGGTGGTTTTTTTTTTTTTTTTAATTTGATTTATATGCCGCCCTTCTCCGGAGACTCAGGGCGGCTTACAATGCGTTAAGCAATAGCCTTCATACTTTGGTATATTTATACAAAGTCAGCTTATTGCCCCCACAAACTGGGTCCTCATTTAACCTACCTTAGAAAGGATGGAAGGCTGAGTCAACCTTGAGCCTGGTAAGATTTGAACCTGCAGTAATTGCAGGCAGCTATGTTAATAACAGGGTGCTTTAAACCACTGTACTACCAAGGCTCATAAAAATCTTTATGAGCCTTTCCAATTGAAAAGGAAGATATATATATATATGTAAGTAAATAGATATGAAGTCATTTAGAAAGCCCATTTCTTTTTTTAAAAAATGGAGCTAAATGCCTTGAAAGACTCTGACATACTGTACACATAGTATAGAAGGCTAGTCATAGACATCATAGCTTTTTCTATTCCTTCAGGCTATTGAAACTGATGTTTTAAGGTTGAAAGGGTGGGCATAAGATGAAAAACTTCTATTTTTATGAATTGTTTTCTGCCAAGAGTGACCTAGAATCAATGAAATAGTAAAGAAATATATTACAGATTTTTGCCGCTAAGACACAATACTCCCAATTGCCTACTAGATTATCAAAAGCAGGCCATCAGTGTAAGTGGCTTCTTCTTTCTCTTCTCTATACGGCAGGGACCAGCTGTGCATGCATTTAAATATTTTCAGGGAGGGCTTATTTTCAGGGGAGGTCTTATTTTTGAGGAAACACGGTATTTAAATGAGTTGAATATTTGGTACTCATTTTGACCTCTTAATTCACTTCATATTTTGCCTTGCAGACTAGCATTTAGATATTGCATATACACTATTTATGCCAGGGTTAATTAGAAATCCAAAAGCTGTAATACAATTCTCCAAGATGTTGCAGCTTAATCACATTATTAGATGCCTTCACTTTCCTGGTTTGTGTTTGGTTTTGTTTTCCTATGTTCAAATTTCATACATCCTTTAAATAAAAACCTTGAATTGAAATGAGGGTTCTTGACCAATTTTGCATTAGTCAGCATATTACACTATACTGCTATGAAAAGGCTAAAGCAAATATGCCCTCAATATGGTGTCTCTCTGGGTTCTAGGAAACTAAGTAGATCCTTGAAGGGGAGAAAAGATACAAGTTATGTGTGTTAGTACTGAGCTTTCCAACTTCTGGATTATAGTTCTACCTTTTGATATTTTTAATGAGGATTGAATAATTATATGCATGTAGAGCAGGGGTCGGATTCTACTGGTTCGGACAAACCGGTAGCTCCGACGATCAGCTGGGAGGGAACCAGTTCGCTCCGACAGTCAGCTGGGCCCACCCGCCTGGCCCTGCGCTTTACTTACCTTTATCTTCGCAGCTGATTAGCGCGGCAGAGCAGATTGCCGCTGTTTTAATTCCCTAGCACTAACGCAAAAGGTGATTTTTAGTTGAATTGTGCATGTGCACACAGCGCGCATCTGGTGCGGGTGTGCACAAAGCGTGCAATCACCGAACCGGTTGTTAAACTGGAAGGATCCCACCACTGATATAGAATAGATTAATAGGTATCACTTCGGTGGAAGATAACAGCATTCCATGCACTTTTGGCATATGTTGGTCACATGACTACGGAAATTGTTTTCGGACAATGCTGGCTCCCTCAGCCAAGAAACAGAGATGAGCATTGTGCCTAGGATACGACTGACAGGGAAACTTTTACCTTTAGTTCATCAGCATTTAAATCCTTTATTGATTTTCCCATTTCAGCAAATCAAATTAAAATGACAATTCTTTTAAACTCTATTTGGCGTTATTTAACAGGAAAACAAAAAGTAAGTATTGAAACCAAATTTCTTAAAATGTTGAAGTTCTGTTTTTCTGTCCTCGATTTCAAATATGTAAAAAACACAAAATATGATGAATAGCTCTTTTCTTGCATTGTCAAAATATATCCCAAGCCGCCAGTTGTCAACTACAAGGTTAATGTAATATTACAGACCAGGTGCATGTTTTTCTGAATCCTGGTCTAGGAAGTATTCCTATTACTTGCTGTGATAAGGTTACTTCACTTCTTTAAAAAAAGTCAGTGATGAAGTAATTAAAATCCTTGATAATTCAGTGATTTTTTTTAAATCAAGGAACCAGGTGATTTGACAATGAAGGAGTATGTCTAGGCAATTAAAAACTAGTATTTTACAAAACAGACAACTGAAAAACATAGAATATAATCTGCATGTGAGAATAATTTTAAAAGAATCTCTATTTTTTCAACATGTAAGTATGTGTAATCTAAACTTCGTAATGTTCTGATAAATTTATTTTTGAGGTGGAAGTTTTTTTTAAAAAAAACAGATTCTAGTCCCTGAATTCTTTCTTTCATTCTTCTGTGAAAAACTGTGTTTTCCTTTTTGATTTTGACTACTCCCTCCCCTCCCCCCCCCAAGCCAACTTGGTCAAAGGCTGAAATTACAAGGATTAGACCTACAAAACATCCAGAGGAAAGTAAATTGGAACAGACTGGGGACAGTTTAGAACTTTGGAAGAGAATTATATGCCCAAATTTTCATTTATTGATAGTGGAATAAAGCACTATTTCTAGAAACAGGTAGACATAATGGCAATTCCCTAAAAGCTCTTCTCTTTTTCCTTTCCATGGATTATTTTTCAGGTAAGAGTTTATAATCTTCTCCAGTATGAACATGGACCAGATGATGTGCTTATCTTAGCTACTGATGGACTCTGGGATGTACTATTAAATGAAGAAGTAGCAGAAGCCATCACTAATTTCCTGCCAAACTGTGACCCTGATGATCCACACAGGCATGTAACCTCTCTTCTGTAGGCTATCTTTGAAATTGTCCTGCTTTTTTCTGAGGATAACAGGATCCTCAGGGTCCTGAGGGTATTTTGTTATAACATTTGCTTACCACTTAGAACAAAAAGCATTTTTCAGCATGGTTTTCGTGCTGTATTTCAGAAGAGGCTAATATTAGTTCTAAAATTTTAAAGTGAATACAAATATATACAAATAAAAAAGTGATTGTAAACAAAAATGTGATGGAATCAGTTCAGTTTGCACCAAAGCAAATTTTACTGATTTCTGAAAAGTTAAACAACAAATTGTTTAATTTTAGCATTTTAGTTTCTTTTGTAATACCTGTATATTTTTATTTTAATTATTGAAAATCTCTAATACTACGTTCCTTAATTTTCTTTTTTTCTTTTTTAGACAAATTTTATTTTAAAAAATTTCTTTCATCATACATATTTTATGAACAGAGTGTTGACTGGGTCACATCTTATACATTTATACATAATCAAAATCATCATTATAATACTTCTTAATCTTCCCATTTTTTCCAATATTTTGGAAATAATCTTTTGTGTAATCCTTTATCACAAATTTATCATTTTTCTCCATATCTTATTATTTCAACTTCTGCCATATTAATTTCCCCCCCATTATTTTTTATTATTTTCAATTTTATATTCGAATAACATCACTTTACGCCTTATATTTCTTTTCAATTACAATTGCTTCAGTTGTTTACAATCTTTTTTCATTTCTGGAAGTGTCTCTCTAATTCCTTTTTCCCAATCATTAACAGTCAAACATTCATCTTAATTTGCATTGTTATCAAAATTAATATTATTAAATACTTATTTTCATCTTTCCATGTGCTGTGGTTTATCACAAACATGTTCTATTTCTTCTTCTTTGCAAAAATCCTCTCTTACCACTACTATAACAATTAAAATTTCATTCTAATTTAAAAAGCTATCAAAAACACTACTATTATTATATTGTCTACTTTCCCATTCCCATTTATTAATCTATTTTATGTATATTTGCTAATGTTACCTCATCATCCTTCATCTTTAACCATCATCTCGAAATCTTTTTAGCATTCCCTTGTCTAATGGTTTTTTGCACGACCCTTTATCTCACTCTAATTTCTCAATTCTCTTTTTTTTCTTTTTACATATGTTACATTTCATCTTCTGCATCCTTTTATCTTATTTTGTTGAATTGTTTGAACATCCCTCACTACAAAGTTTTCCATTGTCTCTTCCAGATATTCCCCCTTTTCCCTTTTATCTGTTTCTTTTTTAGGGGGGATTTTCCCCCTTGCTTCTCTGCTCTTTTGACATTCCCAAACATTTCTGTAATATTTGATTTCTATTTTTTGATACTTTCTTTTCAACATTGTTAATTTCTTGTTTCTCATTTAAGTTTCCCTCTTCCAACTCTTCTTCCTTTTCTTTTTCTGTATTTTTAAATGAATTTTCTGTTTCTTTTTTGCCTATTAAAGATTCGCGCATGCTTTTAAACATCAAAAGTACTCTTCATACATCTGCAACTCCATTTTATAACAATTTAATACCTCCCCAATTATATCTCTATGCACTTGACCAGAATTTAAAGTCTATATAATTTTCTTGTATCTCTGCTTCTTTTCTTCTTTCCTTCTTCAATTATTCATTTTGTTCGTTAAAATTAAAATGTTCTTCTCAATTATTAATTATTATCCAAATTCAGCAACAGTCAAATCCAATTATGAAGCTATCTTCCAGAAGAGAAGGGAAATAAAACAACCACCCAGATATAAAACACAGTCACTCCTTAAATATTCTCACAATGTCCAAATTATCTTCTTCTATATGGCCAAGGTCGAAATTTCCAGCTGCTATTTCTTCTGTTTTATTTATTTGAATAGAAAATTACAGTACTTTTTTTTTCCTCCAGCAGATGGCACTCTCCATTTCTACTCTGTTACCAATTGTTTATCCAGTAATTTTTAAAAGTTCTCTTGTGAATTATTGTTATCTTCCGAAAATCATTTTTTTCTCTTTTAAAATCTTGCTTTTCCCAATTTTCCAAATCCAAGACTTTCTCTTAGATTCTTTATATTACAGTTCACGCTTTGTCTTTGTTTTGCATGTGTGATCCCCCCCCCCAATAATGCCAGATAGCCGCTAGTCCAAGCTCCGGAATTCTTTTAAAACTTCAATTTCAACTTTTCTTAGTATAATTTGGCATTTATCTCACCCAGTTCTAGCACTCTGTCCAAACGCTACTCCTGCACAATTCTTCGGTTTGGTTGTCCCAGTTTCAAGGTGGCCACCTTAAGATGGCCGCCACTCCCGCTGCTGTTTCTGGAGAGCTGTTTCTGTTCCAGCGAGGAAATTGCCAATTCCTCATGGTCCATGAAATGCCTCTCCTTTCTTCATCATCCCTACAGGACGGCTATGGCTCAAAAGCCTCCCGGCAGCGGTTCATCTGGCTAGATTTCATGCAGCTCATCAGAGCCCACTATTTTCCAGTCTGCTCCCGCTGCGACGTCAACCAGAAGTCCCCTATGTTCCTTAATTTTCACTACACTTAAAGCAGCCATATTTAAAGGATGAAAGATTACAAGCCTTTTCTACTGGTAGTTCCACTGTACTGGTTATACTTACTCTAGATCACAAATAGGCAACTTGGTTTGGGGTTTTTTTGGGGTTTTTTTGCTTTAATTTATATGCCGCCCTTGTCCAGAGACTCAGGGCAGCTTACAATGCGTTAAGCAATAGCCTTCATACTTTTGTATATTTATACAAAGTCAGTTTATTGCCCCCACAAACTGGGTCCTCAATTTACCTACCTTAGAAAGGATGGAAGGCTGAGTCAACCTTGAGCCTGGTGAGATTTGAACTTACAGTAATTGCAGACAACTGGTGTTAATCACAATGCTATCAGTCTGCTGAGCCACCAGGCCCGTGTTCCTGATGCTTTGAATTTGTTAGCTTCAACTAGTATGGGCAAGAATAGAAAGTGTGCGAAAGGGTCAGCATATGGGGATGGAGTAAGGGGATGGTAAAGTATTATATAATCTGTTATGAACTTGGGTTTTATTATGAAGAAGTCACAGGGGGAGGGGAGGGAGGGTTAGGGAGGAGGGGAAAAAAAAGGGGGGGGGGAATTTGTATTTGAAAAACTTTTTCAATAAAAAAAAAAAAAGAATAGAAAGTGTGGGAAATAAAGCCCAGAATATCTGAAATAGATGAATACTCTGCTATATATATATCAGTATGTTGTTGCATATATATCTGTGGTTGTTTATGACAGATTAGTTGCCTCTTGGCCTGTGTAAATTATACTTTGGTCTTCTGCTATATGATGGAGGATAAATGCTCTTTTCCTGCTCCTCTTGGAAAAAATCTTGGGACTTCAGGTTTGCAGCTTTGCCTCGTGTAATCATAATTAAGTTTCCTAGTGCGTAGTCAGACTTATCCTACCTTGCTCAAGATCCCAAGGATAATAGCTTTGCAATGTTTAGATTGGAATACTTTTTCCTTTCACATTGGAAATTGTGTGCAAACTATGTTCTCATCTGTTGAGTTTATAACTTTTTTCAAAATAGTCAGAACATTTGGTCCTGGCTGAAGACTATGAATAAGGTAGTGAAATCTGAATGTTGATAAAGCAAATTTATGGTGATTAATATGGCCCATCTACCAAACAATAAAGATTCTTTTTAACAGCAGTTTTCAATATTGGCTTTTCCTTCTTTGCCCACAGGTACACACTAGCAGCTCAGGATTTGGTAATGCGAGCTAGGGGAGTGCTGAAGGACAGAGGCTGGAGGATATCCAATGACCGACTGGGCTCAGGAGATGACATTTCAGTCTACGTCATCCCTTTAATACATGGAAATAAACTCTTGTAAAAGCAGCATCAGTGCTGGTAACAGGAAATGTTTGATTATTAACAAGTCCTTTGGAAAAGACAGTCTTCTGATAAATGAAAGTAGTGGTTCAAACATTCTCTTAAGCTTGGGTAACCTGATCTCTTTGTACTTGAAAGCTAGGGCTGATTTGCACATAATCTCTTAGAGGTTGCAGCTTCCCTAAATTTATATTATTGGTACATATCAGGACCAGAACTTCAGTGCTGCTAGTATATTTAGTGCTTTCTTTTTAATGTCCCTCCTGGTGAGGACACTGTTGTGATCTAATTGAATTTATTTTTCCCAGTTTAATGTAGCCTAGAATGCTAAATGAGATGTGAATTGGGAAGACCATAATTGAAACTGGATAGGCAGCCTTTATTTTCCCAATTTCTGTGCTAGCTGACTTTAAGTTAGAAGTAATTTATAATTACTAAAGTTAGAAAAGCTGGTATCTACTTAGGTATTGTTTGCTGAAGGTAGTGATGTTTCAGTGGAGAGGTTCTAGAATTTTGTTTATGCATATTAATTCAAGATTTTTTCCCTCTTCACTGTAATGAAAAATGTATAGTTTTTCTATGTGCTTGGGTGGTGAAATTAGCTTTTTTCTGGTTTCAGTCTAGCAGCTGTTATTAAAATTGCCTAAGAATAGAGAAACGTTGGGTGGTAAATCTATTTTCGTGTTAACTTTTTGTCGAGTGTGTAGCTATGATGTAGCAGACTGGGAGATTATTTTAGTTAATATTTATTTGTTATCAGATTTTTCATGCTTTAAATACTTTGGCCTCCTCTTTCAATATGATATGGTATTCCTATTGAAAGAATTTCCCTACAACTGTTGATTTGGATGTACTGGATAAATGTTTGTCTTATTTTTTTCTTTAGCTATTTAATGCTAGTGAGTATTAGAACATTCCTTTAGAACAATAAGCTTCTCCCATTTTCCTACTGTACTCTTTGAGCATTAATTTCTTTTACTGCTTCTATTGTATTCCATTGCCAGGATGTAGTAGGTAAAATGTAAATTATAAATCCATGTAGTATAGCAAGAATTTCTGAAGAACAAGCTTCATTAATTCGTTTGTAATTGTCAATATTAATAAAATATCAAAATAGATAGGAATAAATATTCCAGTAAGAAACTTACTCAAGCAAAGTATTCATAATTATACATACATAATGCAAGCCACCTCTTCTGGAATTAGATGCTTGAGTTGGATTCCTCAGGTATAATCTCAATCAAGAAATCCAGTAGCACATTCTATGCCATTTAAAAAGTAAACGATATGGCTGGAAAACAAGAGATCAACTTTTGAGAGATCTCAAATATTTTCCAAAAAAGAAGCTTTTAGCATAACAAGAAAATGGTTCTATTTGTTTCCATACCATTTTTCTTTAACATTTTCCCACCTTCATAGTATTACATTGATATTTTTTGTGGGGCAGGCATTTCATATACTGTCTTTGCATCAATACAAACGTTTCCCTCAGTAGGATAGTGCTACTGTAAATAAGTTTGAATCTATAACTGAACAGTTAAAAAGATAATCTATGACATCTCTAAATATGTATGCAATAATGTATTTTATAGTAGGCTTCATGAAACTGTTATAAACAACATTTCATAGTATATAGTCTTTTCAACTGCATATAGAAATCGGGAAGTGGCTATTACACAGAATGTATTTCTGCATTCACAATATGTATTTTTCAGTTCAAGTAATTCTTAATGTGGGTCACTATTGATGTTTCATTTCATTCACATATGTGAAATCAGTGTTTTCTGGGTAAAATACTGTCACTGGTTCATCATCACTTTCTAATGTAGCATGTGTATGCAAAAATGTGCTGTTGTGTTGTTTGTCTTCGTTTTGCTTTAACATATTCCTCACTTCCACCACTTAAACCCTCTTTAGATGCAAATTGTCTCACTAGGTAATTAAAAGTACAGGTTTAGTTTTTATATTGCTCTACCACAGGATCCCCAATCCCCAGGCTGTAGACCGGTATTGGTCTGTGGCCCATTGGGAACTAGGCCACACAAACGATGGGCAAACCGTTTCATTTGCGCATGCACAGGAACTAGGTTATATACGTGAAACCATCCCCTCTTCGCCTGCCGCTACTGCTGCTGCCGGTCCATAGAGCTGGAAAGGTTGAGACCACTGCTCTACCATATGGACACATTGTATTTTATTATAGCCTTATTAGACACCTGGGCATAAAAATGGGTCAGAATAGTCAGTAGCAGGAATTGTATGTATTCACCACTAATACATTATCTGTGCAGTTACTCCTTTTTACTCTTTTTCTATAATTTTTTTTTAAAAAATTGATTTATATGCCGCCCTTCTCCGGAGACTCAGGGCGGCTTACAATGCATTAAGCAATAGCCTTCATACTTTTGTATATTTTATACAAAGTCAGCTTATTGCCCCCACAAACTGGGTCCTCAATTTACCTACCTTAGAAAGGATATTGCTAGTTTTACAGTAATCTAATACTAGACAATACAGATTCAATTCCAATGTTGTGATTTTACATTAGTTCTTTGCAGTTGCTACTTAATTTGCATAAAGAAAAACATGGGTATCTGTAGAAGCTTCCTGTTTTTCATCAGTTATGAAAGCAACATCATGCAATTGTACCACAAAATCCACCTCTTTTGGAAGTAGATGTGATCTTATGCCATATGTATAAAAGGGATAGGGTTTGCATCATGACAGTGTAATATTGCTTTTGTCAGTCCATCCCTTGACACCCTCCCCACAATAATATATCCATTAGCAATATCTTCAAAAGTAGTCTTAAAATTGACTGCCTTGTGTTTTTCCAGGAGCAGTGACATCCTTATATAAAAATAACATATGGAAGCCAATTATACATATCTTTGTAATAGATCTGTCTTAATATTGTAATGGCTACCAAATACTTCCTGGAAATACCAAAACTCCTAGTCAGGACAACTAAAAAAAATGTAGTCATGTCAATCTAATGCAAACCAAGCAACATTGACTCACTTAACTAAATTCAGAAATTTAAGTTGACACTTAAGTTTCCTTCCATCTCTATTGCTGCAGAGCTTCTTCAAAGTTTTGATCTTGTTCAAGATTGCTTTGAGTCAACAATGGTTCTCTCCCCCACCCCAAGAAGTGTATTTTATATATGTCTTTGAGTAATATCCAGATGAATTTAAGTGGCAGCTATTTATAAACCTTTGCAAAGAATTTGGTCTTCTAGAACAATATACTATTGAAGGAAGTGTATCAGTTCCTGCAATTTCTGCATATGATAGAGTTGGAGTGGATTTCATGCCTTGTGTTATTAGATTACAAATGAAATCTTGCCAATCTCAACAGATAGGCATCAAATGGTATCTCTCTTTTTTACTTGAGAAAATTCCACTGTGTTAGCAAAACCTAGCTAAGACTTACATAACATCCCTTCTAGATGAATGCATGTGAAATAATACTCCAATAATTAATTCTATTATAGAGTTTATTATTATTTAGAGCATGTTTCTTCAGATATACTAGTCTATATTTACCAAATTAGTATTTGGGTTACTTTGAATTTTGGTCATTTGGGGCATTGGAAGACTTGTCCAGCACATATGGAACAAAACAATCTGAGGAAGACTACCTTAAAAATAATGATGCTATACTAGGGGTGAAATGCTACCGGTTCGGGTGAACTGGTAATTAAAAAAAAATGCTACAGGTTTGGCCGGACCAGTATTTCCAACGATCAGCTGTGCCGCACTTTCTAGCGAATCTAAATCACGCGGCACAGCTGTTCCCTCCCTCGCTGTTCTACTTACCTTAGAAAAGGCTTCTTAATCCTTTTTCAGCACTGCGCGCTAGTGCCTGCAGTGTGCATGTGCATAAAGCGCACGTTTGGCACGCACTGTGCATGCGCGCATGCAGCAAACCAGTAGCAAAGTGAACCAGTAGCAGACTTCAGAGCATTTTACCCCTGTGGTAGACATCAAAATATTGAAAATGAACCAGATTGTAACTTTGTTATTATATATTAAAGATCTTGAAGGAGTGTTGTTAAACAAAACCGAATGCCCAACCTCACCCCTTCACTCATACCCAACCGAGGAAACTTGTTCTTTAACAACAACAACAACAAAAAAGACTGTCTCAGTTAAAATCTAACTGAAAACATTTCTAGGAAAATACAAATTCAGGTAAAATTCAGAAAAAAATTGTTGCTAATAGAGCAATTTAAATTATCCATGTTATTTGCCTGGTAATAAGTCAACAACATGGATCTTTCAAAATTCCAAGAGATGTATTAATTGCATTATTAGGTTTAAGTTTAACAACTGTGTAGTCTAAGATTTCCTTTACCGAATTAAGCAATATTTTGGGGGTGATTCTTCTAACAACTTATTTCCAATTGTAGCTAACAATTGTAATATTTTTAATGAAATATTCCAATTCAAATTATCTAAGATGTTGTTTCATTACTTACCAATGCCCATGGAAAAGGATTCATTTTAGTTACAATCTAAAATCAGCAGCACATGAGAAGTGATCTTGGACTCCAAGCAATATTGAAATGGTTTTGTATCAAGAACTGTCAAATTGCTGAAAGTAAAGTAGTCATTGTATGTTTTTTCTCTGAGGTTTGATTCTTATTTTTGATAATGAAGCACTACAACCCTACCAAGTCCATTTTGGTACTTTTGCCCTTTGTACATTCACTGTTGCAGTTTGCATTTTACAAACATTTGCACATTCTCAATTTATTTTGTTTACTTATAGAGATGTTGTAGGCAATGACCAATACCTCTACAATCATTCTGCCAAATTATACCAGTATTTTACTTGAAAAAACCCTTTCCCTTTCAATCTCTGCTTTATTTTTTTCCACTGTATTTTATTTTAATTCAACTGCTACCCATTATTTTAGTGATATAGTGATTATATTTATGGAATATATTATTTTCTAGGCTCAGCATTCTAAATGATGAAAAGAATTTGATGGGTAAAAATGATTTAGATTAATGTACTTAACATTGTGACTGTGAAATGTCAAACTTTTTGTAATTTAAGAACAAAAATGTTTAGCAAAGGGATATATTTTATGTGTTTTGAAAAATTTTCAGTGCAATTAAGAAGAAAGCAGAAAAAATGTATGCACAATAAAGTTTTAAAATGGAATAAAAAAAATAAACAGAAAAACTCATTTTTGCTGTTTATATTGGATGGGTGTTTCTGTGGGATTTATAGCTGATCAGTTAAAGCATAGAAATTTGCCAGTGATGACATGAAATCAAATGAAGAAAGTTTAATTAAGAACAATCTAAACACAGTATCAAACTTTATTGTGAAATTAAATGTTATTGCTATGCTATTGCTTTTCTATCTGTATATTTTAGGATATATACAAGTTCACTGTACAAGTCTGCTTGGTGAAAAAGTGCTAAAGAAAACCAACAGGAAGATGCATTACTTATTGCTCACAAAATTGTATTCATTTCATTAAGCTGGCCTTTAGCGTTTACTATCAGAAGTTAGTCAAGTCAGCTTTTTCCTTGTTAGTTTATTTCAATTCATTAACTGCAGAATTTATTTATGGGTTTTGGTAGAGAAAATACATGACTACTAATGAGATAATATACTAATAAATATATAATAAATATAATTTAATATAATTTAATTTAAATATAATATAATAAATTGATTTATATGCAATCCTAATCTCTGATTCTTGAACTGTACTATTGTCTAAGGCAATAGTTAAGCTATCAAATTGAGTCATAAAGGGCATCCTTGATGAATTCTACAAGGCATCTTAATAAGATAATATAGTGAAAGAGAAAATATGTATTAGTTCAATTGATAAAAAAGAGATCTATATTCAGACAATACTTAATTAAAAACTTTCCACTGCATCACACCGGATCACCCCAACGATGCCCTTGAAATGATGTCCCGGTGCCTGGAGGCCGTACGGATCTGGATGGGGAGGAACAGGCTCAGGCTCAACCCATCCAAGACTGAGTGGCTGTGGTTTCCGACGTCCCGATATAGTCAGTTGACGCCATCACTGACTATTGGGGGCGAATCATTGGCCCCCACGGAGAGGGCTCGCAACTTGGGCGTCCTCCTGGATTCACGGCTGTCTTTAGAAGAGCACTTGACAGCCGTGACCGGGAGGATTTTTCATCAGGTTCGCCTGATTCGCCAGTTGCGTCCCTTTCTGGATCGGGACTCTTTACGCACGGTCACTCATGCCCTTGTCACCTCCCGCCTGGACTATTGCAACGCTCTCTACATGGGGCTCCCCTTGAGGAGCACCCGGAGGCTCCAACTGGCGCAGAGTGCGGCCGCGTGGGTGGTAATGGGAGCGACATGGCGTTCCCATGTAACACCTCTCCTGCGCGAGCTGCACTGGCTCCCGGTGGTCTTCCGGGTGTGCTTCAAGGTTTTGGTTACCACCTTTAAAGCGCTCCATGGCTTAGGACCTGGGTACTTGCGGGACCGCCTACTACCACCAATAGCCTCCCACCGGCCGGTACGCTCCCATAGAGAGGGGCTCCTACGGGTGCCGTCAGCCAAACAATGCCGACTGGCGGCCCCCAGGGGGAGAGCCTTCTCTGTGGGGGCACCTACTATCTGGAACGAGCTCCCCCCAGAGATACGGAGGATCCCGGATCTGCGCACCTTCCACCGCGCCTTAAAGACCTTACTATTTCACCAGGCCGGCCTGGCCTAATTTTTCCCCCTCTTTTATAAAAGATTTTTAAAATTTTAAACATCTTTTAGTATTTATATATTCAATTTTAAATTGGTTTTAAAAGTTTGGGGTTTTAAATTTGTCGGGGCCAAATTATTTAATTTGATTTTATTCTATTTTTTAAATTTTGTATTGTATGTGTTTTTATTGTTTGGCTGTGCACCGCCCTGAGTCCTTCGGGAGTAGGGCGGTATAGAAATCTAATAAATGAATGAATGAAATGAATGAACTCGCCCATATCCTGCTAAATTTGTGATCCTTCCTAGATGCTGGGTTGGATGCCTGTATGTCACATCCTTATTCTTTGTGATTTATATGCATTTGATTAATATATCTCAAATATAGTTTTATCTTTAAATAGCTTTATCTATTTAGTTAATTACCAGAGAGGCTTATGAGGCTGCCACCCCTACTGCAGAACCTACTTTCTGAAAGCACAAAATGGTCTCAAAATTGCAACTGTGCACATCCATGATGTATTCTTTATATACTAATATAGGCAACAAAATTTAAAACTAATAGAATATAATTACCTTATTGAAATAATTTCTTAATAGTAATTAAAATAGTCACATTACCAAATTGGCAATCTCTTTACAAATCTATGGCACAACTGCCTTTTGCTTTTTTAAGAAAAACTAGTTGCCAAGTCCTATCTTTCTTGTGTTCCTTTATCTTGCTCATTGATCTTTTTCTGACTTCTTCCATGCAAAATATAGACGGCAAGAAAACACTGAAAGGTTAAAATAGAAGTGGACTCTCAGTAACATGGTAATTTGCTACTTCGTGCACAGCCAAATACTTGCTGCAACCATTAGCTGCCATTCCAACACGATTGAAAGGCTGTTTAATAAGGGTAAATAAATAAAAACCACAAATGATTTTCCATCCCAGCAATCACTGGACTAACCTCTGTGGTAAGTAAGCTTTCAAAACAGCATAGATGGAATACCTGCACCTGGAATTAAGGCTATCTCTGATTAGTATAGTTTAAGCAGCTGGAAACATGAATTAGCTGGGATTGTCTGAAAAATTCTATGTTATGTAAATACAAGTATTTCATTCTAAAATTTTCCTTCAGAATGATGTTATTTTTGAAAAACCATATATGTTTATTGGAGCAGCTCACTGTGATAGGAATTCCCCATAATTTGGTGTAATTATAAGAAAAAAAATGATTCTTAATGTAACAGTTTGGAAATAATTGGTAAATTACAGTGAACATGGCAAGGATAATGCAAGGGCAAAAAAATCTTCAATTTTATTTTGAGTAGTTTATGATTCTGAATTAAAGATTGGTCTTGATGTCTGACTTAGACTTGAATATATTTGATAACTGATTTTCAAAATATATTTTAAAAACCATCTACACTGCTATAGGTAATAGTTATAACTAAAGTAGTCTTTTGTAATAGAACAAACTTGTTTGCAAATACAATGAGTTTAGCTGTTCAAACCAGATTCAAATTATGTTATGTGTTGTTATAAATTCCATAAGAAAAATCATGGCTTTTATGCTAGAATTTATATATAACTATTAAACAAATGAATCAGCAGAACTTTTTGACATAAAATTGCAAGCTGTGCACAGGCAGTTAGTTGACTATGGATATTCTCCATAGACAAGTAGTTCTCACTTAAAGACTAGTCATTTTACACCTTCTCAAAGTTACAATGGTCACAGAACCATTGTGCACACCTGATCATTGTAAAAGTTGCACTTGTGGTCATGACTGCCTGCTGGTCTGGTAAATTTTATGACCCTTTATAGTGTTCCATGATCGGGGGCGTGGTTATGGCCGTGGTGGTGTGAGGACGTTTTCTCCACTTCGCAGGGCATTTTACGGAAGATAAATGTGGATTAAAGTGTTTGAAATGCACCGATAAGGACCAAAATTTTATAAATTGTATCGGAAGAGCTACTGGCCCAGCAGACTGACTTTGGAATCGGTAGGTCACCCTGAACGACTCAAATTTTGAAGCTTTTCATAGCGTGGGAAAGTGGAAGGACTGAGGGGTGACCAGATAGGCAGTCGCGATTGCATATTTGGAGTAAATAGCTGCCTTTGTTCTCATTATTACCGCGATCTGTGTTTGTTTTTGCTGTGGGATAAAGGCACGGAACATCAAAAGACTGGTGGAAGGGTTTTTTTTTTTTTTTTCCTCTTGGAAGAATATGTGAACTTTAAGTTGATCTTTTGTTTGTGAAAGTGCCTGAGTTGAAGCAGCAAAACGCATTTCTGGGCAGTGCCTTCCAATGGATGTTAGCTTTTTTTTTTAGGGAAATTACATAAGCTGAATTGAGAACTATAAACTTTTATTGCTGGTCCTTTTGAGTGCAATAATAAGCTGTCTCAGCTTCAATATTGGATTGCTGTCCCTTAATCTTCATTATAGACCCTCTTGGCAAAAGTGGATAATTAAAACTTATTAAAAAATGGCGACCCAATAATCTTTAGAAATGCAACAAGTTGCTGTGGCCTTAACCAAAATTAGTGAAAAGATATCAGGACTGTCAGATAGTATGGATAATATGACATTGGAAATTAAAAGAATGAAGCAAGAAATGAATGAAAATTTTGCAAAGCAAACAGTAGAAATGACAATAATTAAAGATGAAATTGAGCAGATTCAGACACATGATGCAAAGATAGTTCGGCAAATTGGAGAAATCTTTTTTAAAAATGAACAAGATAAAAAAAATTGTTTTTTGGAAGAAGAAGCGAGGAAATATAATCTGGTTATTCGTGGAATTCAAGAAGAAAAAGTGGACAATTTGAAACAACGAGTTTTAAAATGGCTCAATGACTTGGATACACAAATCACATTTACAGCAACAAATCTGGCAAGTGTTTTTAGAATTGGGTTTAAAAGACAAAACGGCTTAAATAGAAATGTACTTGTCAGATTTGCAAATCTTAGTGACAAATTGGAAGTGATGGTGAAAGTGAGAGAGATGGGTGAAGCTTTGAAATTTGAGGAGAAAATTATTCAAGTCTTTCCGGATATATCAAGAGAAGAAAGGGCGTGGAGATTTTTTTTGAAACCAATCACAAAGGTTCTGAGAGACAATGGAACGGACGTTGTGTCCCTGAACGTCCATTTTCGGGGCGCTGCGACTCCAATCCATGGAAGGGTAGTATCTCCTAGTTGCTGGGCAGAAAATTGAGTGCTAGTTACTTCTCATTGCCAGGCCACACCCACCTCGACCAATCAGCTTCAGTCTTTCCTCACGAAGGCGCAGGAACAATGTCAACTATAATAGTCCAACAAACAAGCAGAATAACAACAACGTAACAGGAAGCCGAATGGGTGGGTATGGATTGGGGCTGTCAATGAACCTGGTTGGCCAAAAGCCGACTTGATGACATTGGAGAACAAAGGAGGACAAGGGATAACATCTTTGTCTTGATGAGCCACTTGGAAAAGAGTATCATATGGG